TGTGTGTGTGTGTGTGTGTGTGTGTGTGTGTGTGTGTGTGTGTGTGTTTGAGAGAGGGTTTCTCTGTGTAGTCTTGGCTCTCCTGGAACCCACAGAGATCTTTCTGCCTCTGCCTTCCAGGTGCTGGGTTCAAAAGTGTAGCCCTGGGGTCGCCACCACACGGGCTGACTGATCTTGTGATTTCCTTACCCACCAGGTCAGGCTTCCAGCTCTAGAACTCTGAAGGATGTGCTTTTGAAGGGGTGGTGGAGACAGCTGGGGCCTGGGACGCCCAGGGTCCAGTCCTGGACCTGTTGTTGGCCAGCGCCTGCACAGTGCATGGGCTGCAGAAGGTTCACCGCTCATACTTTCCATGGGTTCAGAGGCTCAGCCAAGAATTATGAAACTACAAAATGTGGTCCAGGGCTTGGCCTAGTCCAAAGAATTACTGTGCTCCATGAACAAATGCACGCGTGTGTAATGAATGTGTCCAAACGTGAGCATGACACAGAGTGTAGGAACACAGCTTCCTCTTGGGCCAGCAGCACAACAAGTAGCACAAGACCGAAATCTCAATTGCTCAGGAGGCTGAGGCAGGAGGATAGCTTGGAAAACTACAAGTTTCAGGTTATCCTGGGCAACCTTAGTGAGAGTTCTCTCAAAAGACAAACCAAGGAGAAAAGAACACGGGTTCAGAGCCAGTGAGTCCTCACTTGCACTCAGTCTCACTGCTACATCGCTTTGTCAACAACCTGTCTGAACCTTCGTCTTCCCACGGAAACATAGAGACAGTGACAGTCATTCCTGTCTCACAGATTACCTGAGACTCCAGTGCAGACAAAATACAGAACACAGGACCTAGCCAGAGTGAAGGCTCTAGTTCGTTTTTTTGGTTTTTGTTTGTTTGCTTGCTTGCTTGCTTTTGAGACAGGTTTTCTCTGTGTAGCCTTGGTTGTCCTGGAACTCACTGAGCTCTGCCTCTGCCTCCCAGAGTGCTGGGATTAAAGGCTTGCCCCACCATGCCCGGCTGGAAGACTCTAGTTTGGCACTTGAACGTTTTCTTATTACTACTTTTTTTTTTTTCTCCCACTGGGTTCCATTTCTTACCTATAAACACTTGGGCATGACTCAGTTTCCAAACATCTCCAAATCAGATTATTCTTTAAACCACACGTAGAGTTTGAACCCTATGGAGAACAAGAGGCAGATACTGCAGATCCATTTCTAGGCAGGCTAACTGAGGTCGAATCTATGGAATCCCTGGCCTCTTTGTCTTAAGGGCAGTATCTGTGACCCTGTTTGATCTTGGTGCTGTGACCACCAAGGAGCTTGTGACTTGCCTCCTGATAAATCTCCAAGGGTGAAGTCTGTGTAACAATCGTTGGCCACCAACACAGGTGCTTGCTATGTGCCCAGCCTGTGGTCAAGGATACAGACAGAAAGTAAAGCTGAACCACTCATGGGCCAAGAATCCCTATGGTTGAGTGATGAAATGAACAATACTGGGGCCAGACCAGGGGCTGTGGATGACAGGACATGATCACTGAGTGTAGAGAGGAAAGGATTTGAGAGCTGTCTGTGGAGCTCGGTTGTTGTTAGAGTGCTTGTCTGCCCTGAGGACCTAGGTTTGACACCCAGCATGTCATAGACAAGCAGGAGTAGCACCTGAGAGGCAGATGCAAGAGGATGAGAAGTTCAAGGTCAGGCTAGAGTGATGGCTCAGCAGTGAGGCGCCCTTGCTGCTCTTTCAGAAAACCCACATTCTATTCCCAGCACCCACATCAGGCAGCTCACAACTGCCCGTAACTCCAGCTCCAGAGGACACCCTCTTCTGGACTCCACGGGCACCCATATACAGACACATAGTCATAATTAAGAATAATTGTTTTTAGGTTCAAGGTCATCCTTGTCTGTATAGTGAGTTTGAGGCTAGCCTTGGCTACATGAAGATATTGTCTCAAAAAAAAAAAAAAGAAAAAGAAAAAGAAAAAAAATAGATCCATGTTTAGTTAGAAAGCACAGTCAAAGGCATGAGACAGAGAGCATGGCATGAGCAAAGGCCTAAGCTACATGCATGGGCTAACAGGCAGTGGGGGTAGACTGCTCCTACTGACCTTTGGCCTCCTTTGTCAGTCCCTGGCACAGAAAGATGGCTTTCCCGTCCGTCCCCACACGGCCCCAGAACCCTCAGATTTCCTGTGTGTGGGTGGCAGATGAGTGGTGGCAGCCAGGAAAGTGGCATTTGGGATGTGTGTCTCTGTTTGTCTGTTGTCTGTCTGTCTGTCTCTTTCTGTCTCTCTGTGTGTATCTCTATCTCTGTCTTCTCTCTCTCTCTCTCTCTCTCTCTCTGTGTGTGTGTGTGTGTGTGTGTGTGTGTGTGTGTGTGTGTGTGTGTTGAGGAAGTCTGTAGACAAACCAGGGGCTGCTGGGCAGGGGTTATCTCACTGGGTCCCCAAAGGACAGGCTGGAGCCTGGATTCCGGGAGGGGCCTAGGGTCACATCCTGACCTTCAAGACAGGAACAGGCCTGGTGCCTCAACGATTCCCATCAGGCTGACTACACTGCTCTGCTGTCCCAGACCTGGGCAGCCGAGTTTGGCTGGCTGCTGATTTACTCCTCTCCTGGGCAAACTCAGGGAGCCCCTTCCTAAAGACAGGAGCCAGCCAGGCTCTGACTCATGCCTAGCCAGAAGGAGCAGGCAGGGCTGCTGAGGCAAAAGTGAACCAGGAAG